AATACCACAGGACTGCTCAACGTAGTAGTGTTCCTGACGGTTACCTGACAGATTACCACCGAGTCAATTATCCTTCCCTGGGCACTTATAACTCACCCGTAGTAGGGTCAACCCTGTGTGATTGCTTCATCATAACAATGAGATAAGGCGCCTCCGACAGATAGGGTTTGGCCACCTGAAAAGCCTAGTAAAGGTTCACAATGTCGTCAGGTGTATGTACTCGGCCATCACGATGTAGATCCCCAACCATAGGGGCAACGTCATTAACCCAGCTTCTACGCATACGACGGTCGTAATTCAACTGCTCTTCACGCTCCACAACATCACCTAGAAAGCAGCGTCTCAGAGCCCCTTACCGCACCACTTACGTATCTTGTCCTTAGCCTTCTGATTATGGACAATAACGAAGGTCCATGGTTGGAGATGGGCACCACTAGGAGCTGTACAGGCTGTCCTCACAGCTGCCATTATGATATCCATAGGCACATCATCCTTTGAATAGAATCTGATGGACCTACGCCGACGATTCAACTGGGAGGGGCATTGGTTCTGATAATGACCTCCTAGTGTTCATAAGGTCGAGGAACTTGGTAGCGTTGGCCATCATCACGGCTTTAGTCTGACGATCGTGTCTGAGGGAGGTCACTGTAAGGGGGAATTACTATCAAGTCCAGGGAAACCTGAAGACTTCATGGCCCTGTAGGACCTCCTCTTCTGCAAGGTGGTTGTCGGGATCGGCCAGGAGGGATCCACTACGGGGACGATCCGATTTGAAAACTGATGATAGTTCACTATAAGATGCCCCCCATGCTCCTTCCATCACTACATTTATAGGCTGCAAAGACCCCAGCAGCTCCAACTGCAGCAGCTGCTACTCCCAAGCAAATCCCTATTTTGGAAGTGTTACTCATGCTATCGATGGTAGAGTACTGAGGAGGAAGGGAGGCCGACATGAAGGAGCAATGATAACAACAACAAAGCTAAAATGGGAGCTCCACCGACAACACTGCGGCAAAGTCAACTACATATGATCACAACCACTAGCGCCATGTGCTAGAGTTAGCATGTGTTAGCAGCTCCCTCCAACATGACCTTCACAATCCAACAAGGTCCATCGCTGCAATAACACCATGAGCAACCAAGCCATTAGGTAACTTGGAGCTCCGATGGTAAATTACCATGGGAAGATCACCATTGGTAATCTTCCCAGCTGGACTCGTACTAAGAACCATAGACGTCAGGTAGATATACGACAAGATTGCGATGCCCCTCTACACGAACGTGTCGGACATTCGTGGGTGTCCTCAGCCAGACCTACCACAGCTCCTACCAACCTCTGATGCGGGCACGGAGTCTGAAATGCTGTCATGAGGGTTCATCCCAAATCATTTCCACCACTCATCGGCGACTCTCTCATTTTACTTCAACACTGAATAATGATAATAAACTCAGAAACGTGACCTAATTATCTGTAAGCTATGCACGAGGTCCTAAACTTTGTGGTCGCCATTCAGTATTCTCTTTCCATACTTCACTTGAGCTCCCTCCCCCTACATACACCTCCTTCTTCCACACCGGCACTTCACCTTTCAGTGCATCAATAGCTGCAGAAACAAATTCCTATACTAAGGAAGATCGTCCCAACATCGGCACCGTGGACATTACAATAGCTGCTTTCCTATGAGCACTCGCAGCTGTGATGATAATACTAGCCTCCCCCACATTAACCCGACCTAGTCGATGGCATGCATACACCGATAACACAGGGTACCGATCGGCTAGAGTTGTGATTATCTAATATAGTCGACATAGTGGAAGAGAGAATAATGGAAGAGGCCACCTGCAACATCTTGTTCCTAGCCATCCCTTCATGCGCCTCATACACTAAGTATTCCTGATTAGTATTACATCATTCAACACTAGCCCGGGCACATCATCCATGCCCTCACTACCACTGCTCCATCACTCTCTTGATCCTGTCGAGTGACTCCAACGAAAGTACTAATACCCCCAGCTCGGCCACTGCTGGCTTTGGTGACGAACTCTACAGCTGCATTAACGTCTAAGGGGGAGAATGTCAGAGAGGCATGTACTGTAGTAGACGTGTCCATGTGGGAAGGGGCACGAACTGAGCTTCCTCTAATAGGAAAAGACACTGACAGGCCAGTTAACCCGTTATGAAGGAGGTTACGAACTGCTCGGCCCTCCCAAGATCAATATCATGTCGCTGCGACACGTGGCATTGTCGCATGTCCCACCCTATAGCTACCTATTGTAAACACTCTACTGACCTCACGGCGACAATTCTCGAAAGCTTTGGCGCGGTAAATCCTCACCGCAACTCACGAAGCTGGTGTATCATTTGGCTTTTTTCTCAGCTGCAACCAGCGGCTGAATTTAAGTGGACTCTAAACAAAGAGTTGACCAATCGCAAGACTCACTAACACAAAAGTCGCCGATTAACCCTTACAAATACCCATGGCAATACATCTTGTCGATATCAATGAACTTATTCAGTCAATTGAAAACAATCCATTGATGTACTAGGTTACTTAGAAGCAT